ATCTTTGTTCATCTGTTGACATCAACTCTTACATCCTGTACCGATGACAGCAGTTCAGTTCCGATCCAATCTTTGTTCATCTGTTGACATCAACTTTTATATCCTGTACCGATGACAGCAGTTCCGATCCAATCTTCGTTCATCTGTTGACATCAACATTTATATGCACGTCAAAAATGCAGGAGATCCTGCGGCTATGTCTCTTGGCTTGCGTTCATCGGGACATCGCCGTATCCCTTACTGCTGACAAATTCACACAGACGGCAAGGCGCCGTGTCAAGACTGACGGCGCGTGCGCGCGCGTAGTTGCCGAGAACACCGCATCTGCGCCAGGCAAGGTACTCAGAGTACTTGATAGGATCTGCAGCCAGCTTCATGACATACTCTGCCAGCAACCCGACAGATTCGAAAGCTTCGGAATCGATGAACGAGCGTGGAGGAGCGAAGTTGATGGCGTTCTTTGCGCCGAAGTATATCGGGACGGTGTTGGACTCCAACGCGTAAAACAGCTTTTCGGTAACGTACGAGTCGTCAACTGTGTTCTCCGCCGCCAACACGAACTTGTAGTGCGACATCACGCAATGGGCGTGCTCAAACCATTCGCCGCTGCCGCCTTTGAGTCGACAATGCGGATACATTTTGAGTTCTCTGCCCTGCCCGCCGACGTTGTTTTCGCATTTGCCGAAAGAGTGGGTAGGGACGAGCTGCATAAATTCCTGCAGCAGTCGGTCACGCCACCGAATGCCGCAATGAGAGACAGCCACGTACACGAGCACGTTGTCGCGCTTTGCAATCGCCATACGCCGCTGACGATTGATCTGATAAAACTCCCCGGCATACGTCACTTGCACGTCTGCAGAGGCTTTGTAACTCAAGAGCACGTCTCCTGGCCACGTAGTGACCCCCGATGGTCCCCGTTCCCATTGTACCCCATCGCCTCCGTCTGGTATGTTTAACCCCTCTTCTCTATCTATTCTGCTTCCCTCCTCTTCTCCATTTGAAAAAAAACTGTTTGTAAAGACGTCCGCCTCAAGGTACAAGTAAGCACGTACAGGTTGCTCTAGATAATTTTCCCCGTCAGGCAGCTGCGAGACAAACAGATGAACATGCGGCTTCTCAGTGACCATTCGGTCACTAGAAAACGTGCATGTGATACCGCATCGGCAGGAATACATAGACTCAATCCACGATCCGAGCCATCCCTTGTGCTCTATCTGCAATTTTGAAAATGAACATAACAGCACAAACACACACACACACACACACACACACACACACACACACACATACACACTGCAACTTCAGAACCTCACACACACACACACATACACACTGCAACATCCGACTCATCAGGAGGTTTATCCCCAACAGTCTGGCCAGGATGCATTTGAGTGATGGGAAACGACA